TTTTGCTCCCCAACGACAGCGACAGCAGATTTACGGCGGTTCTATTCAGGATGCCTACCAACGGAGAGGATTAGTCAGCGAGCGAAAGCCGGTGAGGCTTTTAAGGCTACGATGTTTTGAGGTCGCTTATTCTCCCAAAGAGGAATCACGATCAATAGAAATCATTTGCCAGCGAATTATCTTTCGTGACGTTGTTAATAGCCTCTTGAGCGCAAGGTAGCGCGTAAAACGTTCTCGCTCGACCATGGTACGCGCACACGCTCAAGACACGATTGTCTTAAGAGGGAAAATGCAAACGTCTACGAGGTGGTTTACATGGAAGAATCATTTGTACAGTCTTGCGGCAGTTTTACAGCTTGCTCATCGATCTCGCACAGAGAAACATCCAGACGGATGATCATAGTGGCAAATCCCAGCTTAACAATCACGAGCGCTTAGCGGTCGTTTCTCCTCTCTCTTTTGCCTCGACAATCAAGCCACTTCATTGTCTTCGAAGGTTCGCTCGTCTCTGTGTAGTGCGTTCTCGAGGGAGGGGGAGGGGAGCGCCGAGGAAGCATTTGCGGCGAAAGTTTTTCTACGAAAAAAGAGGCAACTCCTTTGTCCGCAGAGTCCACACGCGCAACCATTTCAAGAAAGAACAACAGGATGCTCCATTGAGTGAGAGCGCGTAGGTGTTGAAGGGTGGAACGAAATTCGTGCGGCTTTTTAATAAGTATCCGTGGCACGCACTAGGGAGAACAAAGTGAACGACCGCAGTAAAACGCCAGACAGAGAGAGAGAGAGAGAGAGAGAGAGAGAGAGAGAGAGAGAGAGAGAGAGAGAGGGAGAGAGAAAGAGAGACAGAAAGAAGGTGGACCCGTAAGAAAATTTCTGAAGCCACTGCTTGCCAACTTTATAAGACATCGAAGCGACCGCGTGACACGGAGTCCCTGAAATTTCCCTGTGATGTGATGGCGTAATGCCTGTAGGGCAATCAATAACGTAACACTCGACGACAACTTTTTTTCCCCGGCTCAGAGTGCTTGGTCAATATTTGAACATCATTGTTTCATCATTTGCCATGTTGTCAGATAATCGAATTGCCGTCGTTTATAAAGTTGATAGCCAGTCTGTAGCTCGAATATATCTTCGAAGATATTGTGCGACTGGGTATTACGTTTATTCACCGTTCCAGCTACCGCGTCGGAGCTGAAGTACGACTGCAGCTTAATCCGTTCTACTGCAAGTTCGCAGACATTAGCCGTATGCATTTGACTATTTCATCCAGGACAATTTTACTTGAAATATCCTCCCATAAGCTTAACGTACGTACGATACGCGAGTAATATGAGACTTCGCATGCACATCTTGTAATATAAATCCACGGCTCCGGTGGTGCGCACAAATTTAAAGAAAACAGAGAAGAGAGCCGACAAGACTCGTAAATTTTGTTACACGACTATATACATATATATATATATATGCACTGGCACGGCAAAAGCTAAAAGGTGCAGTTTCCTAACGGAGTCGTAAAAGTCCAGCGGCGAGTTGTGGAGGCCGTAAATGCATTCTTTGGAAGATTTTCGCCCTCGCGATAGTAATTGCGACGTGCGCGCTGTTCCACTCGAGGTGAACTCATTCTTTCACCGCTGGGCTGTGTACGCGTCATTAGACACGCCCGACACGCCGTCACTTCTCGGGTTTCTCTCGTTATTTTCTTCTTTTCAGCTGCCGGCTTCTCGCGACGCGCAATCGACTATATGTATCGTCGCCGATATAAAGCCTCGAGCGAGCAAGCGAGTAGAGTATGCACGATTCTTGCGATATTGTCACTGCTTCGAGTATGCGTGTATACTCCAGTCGTTGACGTCATTCTTTCAACAATCCGCGTATCCAGGCGTGACTTCAATGTTATTTTTTCGAGGTGAGTTGATGACATTGTTGGGTCCAAATGTACCAATCGACAATTTTTATTCGTATGGATTACATCTCTTAAGTTTCGTACTTATGCATTGCATCACGCCGATAAATTAATTTTTTATGTTTATCGACGTTTCGTAAATACCCTCAAATGATATACATTTAGATACTAATTGCACCAGTCGATTTTTGACATACACACGCACACAAGAAATGAATACATTTACAATTTTAGAGCCGGTAATCTTTTTTTCTCCGTAGATTTTGAAGTATCAAGTGCATCCATACGGCGACTCAGTGAATAGTTTACCTATTTGACGCGTGCAATAAAAACTGCTCGAGCGAATCTCGCAAAAGTCGTTTATAAAAGAGAGTCAGGTTGTTTCATATCATCTATTTGTCAGTTCTGCGCACCAACTTTGTCTCACCGATAGTGAAGAGCGATGGTAACGGAGTGAGTCGCATCTCGAGAATTTTCAATTTTTGTGCGCTCTCTCTCTCTCTCTCTCTCTCTCTATCTCTCTGTCGATTGCTGTGGTGCGACTGCAAGGAACAAAGACAAAAGTTTTCAACATTCTCAGTGGCAATTATATCCACTCGACGATCGCAGAACATTCCCTCTCACAAAAGCCTCGCGTTCCTTTTCTTGTCCTTCGTCGTTCGGCGAGTCGTGAAATTGTTGAATAAACGAAAGTTCGGCAAGTCGTACAATGCGTCAGCTCGAGAAGTGGGCGTTTTCGGCGAGAAGAAGAGTTCGAAGCGTTGCGTCAGCGTTAAGCCGGTGACAATCACGAGCGCCGGGGCGCAACTTACAATCAGTTGGCTGTACTAACGAGAGAGCACCGTGTGTGGTCGGTTCTCCGATTTTTCTTCGCGAACACCAATTACTAGCTGCTTGCTCTCGAGTGACTTGGCACGAATTCATTTTACGTCATGGAAAAAACGCGCGGGCTTAGCGTATCGGCTTCCTTCGCGCTTTCAAGGACTGGTTATTGCATTGCGCGATTGGAGAAACCCTCTTTTTCTGACGCTGCGCTTACGTAGTAATAAAAGCGTTGCTCTCGGGTATTAATTATTTCCAACGTATTTGCAGTATAACTTTGAAGCCATGCACTTTGTTTGAGAAAGAGGATAAATACTATTTTTATATATATATTCATGGAATTTTTAAACTCATCTTACGTGAGGCGGAACTCATTTCTCTTGAAAAGCTTGGCGAAACTCGTTAATTCTTAGCGCATGGTGAGCAAATATTTTTGTCGAGCTCACGAAGGAAAGGAGCAACGTGTCAATAAAAGTCGCAGCTGCGTAAATGAGAACAAGACTAAACTAGATCAAGGGCTTAAACGCTTGAGCCGATGAATAATGCGCCGAGCAATTATAAATTGGTCTTTGCAAAAGGGGCACGTGAGGGGAGGGGTGGGCTTCAATCTCGCGTCACTCGCACGGAGACTGCAACTTCAAAGAAATTTCGATATCGCGCTCCAAATCCTTCACCTACTTCCAGTGGTTCCATTTTGCTTATATATTAATTCCAGGCTATTATTCCGTTGAATTAATCAGATATCCTACGCACTTCTAGAACTCGTGATCTATTTGAATGGAAATGAGAATTTCAACTTGATGAATTCCTCCGAGGCTACCTCCAATCTCTCGTAATAAATAGTTTTTCGCCTTTCTATCAAAAGCTTCAATTACATATTCCATACGTGTTTATTTGTTTTGTCGAAGTTTAAATTGGAATTCTTTTCTGCACGTATCTAAGATGTGAAGATTACTCGAATTTCAAAGCGAAAGGATTCTAAATTATTTAAGAGGTCTCTTTGTTACCAATGATATTGAACTTCTCGTTCTTGTTGCGCTTCCTTGGTTTTCCGAGCGAAATGTGTAAGAGTCAAGCCACTTACGTTCTTGAAATGTTGAAGCATAGTTGACAGCTTTCAAATACCTCGTGAATCATCTCGAGTACCGTGGGAGCGGAGCATTTTTGGCAGCTTACAACGATCATTAATAATATTCTGAGTGTGTCATGTTTATCAAAATGAACGGGCGGGTATTCTCGAGTGAGGAAGACAAAGACAAGTCAATTAATTAACCGAAGAAAATCTTCTCCCAACTCTTCTTTCTAGAGAGCAAAATGGAAAAACCATGATATCTACTTGGCATTCGTACAAATAGAGATTCATCGACACGTTTCTCGGCGAGGTTTATTTATGCACGTGTATAAATATTTATGTAGCCGAAGTCATAAACGCCGTATCGCAATGCACCGCTTCTCCCATCATAGGTTTCGCACGTGCTTTCCTTCAATTAAAGCGCATTTCCAGAAATGGAAAAAACTATGCGCATGCGAAGTGACGAGTAGTGCTACCCTTTTATTTTTCATTTTTAAATGTTACGACTGATGTGGCTCTCCTCTTATTTCTCCGTATAGTTTGGAAAATAACTTTTTCATGGGAGGGCATGGCTTAATCGGGCGCATGATACAAATGCCTGCGCTAACTAGAAAATTTCGCTAGAATCCGAAAAAAAAGAAAGAGAACGAAAGAGGAATCCGCTTCGGAAACCTTTCGCGAAGCCTAATTCGCACGGACAGGCGGCGCGGATCGAGATTCGAGGCGTTTTCCATCTCTTTGTGAGTGGTTAACCATTCGAGTGTCGATTGACCAAACCGATCTATGCAACATGATTTCCGCGGCACCTCGATCGAAAAGCGCACTCTCGACGTCTTTCTCGATAAAAAATTCCTCGATGCTCTGCACCAAGAGATTCACGCGTGCGACATGTGCTACGTGGTGAGATTTACATTCGCGAAGCTCCTCCAGCGTCAATTTATTTACTACGGACAAGCAGGCTAATCGAATCCAGACTATACGGTTACACGTGCTGCGCCCCTGCAGAATGCCCTCATTTTTCCTGCATACATCCCACGGCTAGTGAGTATACAAGCCGCTATTGGTGTCTGTATTTTTGTCCTTTTTTTATCTTTTTTGCACTCCTTGTGTTTTGTTGCTGGGATTTTCTTTTGTATCGTAGGATACGCTATTATTTTCTGTTCAAACGAAAGTTTATGGATTTGTAATGGTTATTGTTATTTTCAGATTACATCGGGGAAAATTGCCGAGGGTCTAGGTATTTTCAAACGCTAGGTAAGTGTTTTCAGTTGGTAATTAACTTTCAAAGGCACACAGGCTTGCTCTTTGTCTCTCTCTCTCTCCCTATCTCTCTAAGCTTATCTAAGTCTACGGGGTTATACCCCATGACTAAATGAAATTGTTTAATCTAATCTTCTAATTTGTGAAGATACGTAGAGAGCTGTTTTCAATTTCGAAAAATAACGCGCGAAGAGAGCTCTGTAACTTAATTATAACGGCGAAAGCATATAACAACAACATCGTTGTTTAGAAGGATCGGTCGACGGAAAAAGGCACTCCTGGCAACAATGGCTTTCACAGCGAACGAGCAGTATCGAGCTGCAATGCACATACGCGCCTTAGTACCGTTTATGTGAAATAATTTGCATCTATATCCGACCTAAATTTATCTCATATATAAACTCTCGCGGACGCCTATAGCCACCAATCCCTCGCCGCTAATCATGAAATTAATTGACAGACAACACAAACGTTCCTAATTATTTCGCCCGCAACATGTTATATGCGCGTCTACTATTATCATCGATGCGTATTTATGGTTGGACGCGTCTGATTTGATTGGTCATTAGTATTATTTCCAATCACACTGAAAATCGTACGCCATTGTTCTGCACACATCAATGAGTGATTTCTCGAGCGAAGTCATTAAAATCGCCACCGATATGGGTAAAATTGCGCACGAGTGCAACACTCTGGCTGACAATGCTGTGAACAGAGTGCAAGTTTTAACAGGCGCAGTCATCTAATCGATTTGAAGAGTGCGAAATGAACGTGACGAGTTTTTCTTGTCCACGACATTTCCACGAACAACGAAAAATAATAAAGAACGAACGCCCGCGTGTACCATAAGCAACGAAAAGGATGCAAGCAGAACTGATAGTTGCAAGGCGGTCGACGAGTGTCATTTTTACATGGCACGATGAAGAAAAATAAGAGAGCATTTGCCAGCGGCGTTGTAAAAAATAAAACTTGAGTATAAAGGAACGGTCTAGTAGGTATCCTTGGTACCTGCGTCTGAATATGCTTACGCGAGGACAAAGTGCACTAACACACGTCGAGTAGGAAACGAGGCCAAAGTTCAGGGCGAAAATTTACATGGCAAGTAGCCGGCAAGTGTTGTATGTCACGATTCAAACTTGTCTGACCATCCTCGGATCTCTTTCACTGCAAGGGACGTTTTTTCTATGAATAACGATTTTTTTAAATTCTTGCTTGATTTTTTTCATCCGTTTGTTTGTTTCTCACGGTCTTTCGCGGAACAAAGAAACCCCGACGATTCGCACTTGCCAAACAAGCGGTTTTAAAGCGTATGCGCGACCTCCTTTTTCTTCGCTTTCGCGCGAGGCGCCAAGTCAAATATTGACACAATGTGTGCACATACACGAGGCACAAAAAAGGAGAAATCATAGGATTTTCCTGTCTTCTGCGAGCAGCTTTGATTCCCACTTGATATGAAGGACGTGTGTTTGTTCTCTCTCTCTCTCTCTCTCTCTCTCTCTCTCTCTCTCTCTCTCTCTCTCTCTTGTTCAGGGAATTGCTTTTTTCCCCTTTATTTCAGAGGTACACTGAATTAATGATTTCTCGATGTTCTCTCGGCTTTCCAGACATCCGCTCGATAAATTACAACGCGCTGTGTCCTGGCAAGGTTATTACGACGCGAAAGAGGTATATTAATTAATTTTTGATCGAATGAGCGTGAGGTGCTTAACTACACTGTTGTGGTGTATGGGAAAAGGTCACATGCTGTGACCGTCGCTGAATTAGGCTTTTCAGCGACAACGAAAAAAAGTCTCTCTCGCTCATCCGACATTCACGCGGTTGAAAATAAGTTGAGGGATATATGGAGTACCGGTAAATTTTACTCGCGAAGTGTTGTTTTTTTTTATGTAAAGTCGCTTTTTTTGTTTGATCAATAACAAATTGCGCGGAAGGACGCCCGTAAAGCATTTTTTCCAATTGGCATGGAATTGACAAAACTCGATACAAGTTACAAGCTTGCATGAAATTAATAAAAATGAATATCACGGTTGAAAAGTTGGTGAATTAAAAGTATACTTTCAATGGCATTTGGTTAACTATCGAAGTTAAAAGGAAGCAGGCATTAGCTCAAGGCGAAAGCTTTCGGTGGTATTCACGTTACTCATACGTGCATAAAAGCTCGTATTTACGCAGACTGTCGTAACACGGCTCTTCTAGCCTTCTGCTTGGTTGTCGGCACAATCTCGGTCCTAGGAGAGACGCGCTGTCGCACCCGCGCGCTCGCCTTGGAAGCAGGTGTGGCGTGACAGACAAACAAACGACTCCTCGTTGCGTCTCCGTTTGTCCCGACGTGGCCTAATTTTCGACCCACTCGCGTGCTTAATTAAAGCTCGCTGGAATCTCAGTTGTCGAGCACACGATCGACATAGATCAAGAGGAATCATCGCGGTTTATCGCTCAATAAAGTGCCCGCTTGTTTTTTGTCTTTTTTTCGCACGGGACGGTTGCTATTGCTGACCACAACCGAGTCGATGTTGATGGCCAAACGAAGCCACGCGGACTCACGAGGCCAATCTGTGAACAGTCATTCGACGGCAAACAAGCGTCGTTGTATTCCGATGACGGCAACGAGCTCGCTTCGAAAGCTAATTTATATTTACGAGTAAAAGTAATTAAGCCGGAGTGCCTTTGTCTCGGCGATTGAAAATCTCGTTTCGTAGAAATGAGTCAGCGAAACGCAATGACGCCGATAAGTACGGCAGATGCAGCATGTAATTGTTATCGCAGCGTGAGAGCGGAAATAGCCGCTTGAATATCGCTTACACTCACGCTGGAGCACACGAAGCGACTACCGAATCAGCTGAATTATCCGAGCATTCATCGACGGACTAAGCTCTACACGAGAAATTTTCAATCTCGCCTGAGATGATTGAAACTCCAACTCGAGTCGCGTGCCGCGATACCTTCGTTCCTTGCCATGCCATGTAATCGTGTGTGTGTGTGTGTGTGTGTGCGTGTGTGTATGTGTGTGTGTGTGTGTGTGTGTGTGTGTGTGTGTGTGTGTGTGTGTGTGTGTGTGTGTGTGTGTGTGTGGGAGGCCATAGGTGATTTTCTTGGTGATTTATCGGTACTCTGCCGAGACGAGCACTCGGTACTCTTCGCGAAGGCTCGAACGTGATAAAACCTATTGCTACGATATTTGTTGTTTACTTCCGTGTCTATATTGTGAAAAATAGCGGCTCATAACGATTATGAGATTGTCTGTTTCTCAAACTACCCGGAAATCATCTTCCACGCAAGCAATTTATTAGAAAATCTGTCAATAAAGGTATTGGATGTTGTGCGAAAATTATGTGAAAAGCCAAGGTAGCACGATATGATTTCTCAGCTAAGGTAGCACGCTAATTAAAATTGACACGATGTTTTATCAATACCGAGGTTCATAAAGTTTAGCATCACAATCTCTCTCTCTCTCTGTCTCTCTCTCTGTCTGTCTCTCTCTCTCTCTCTCTTGCCTTTCTTCTTTCTGTATTTCGAAAAAAATTCGCAATGAAGAAAGCATATCTGGCGCATAAACAAAAATGCCTTCTTCGTTTACTCTTTAATCAATACACAATGGCAATGGATAAGAAAAGTTGAATATTGCGCTTGGTCGGGAACGGCGGCTCGTGCTCTAAGCGAGATTAACTCAGCGGAGCGACGTTTAACGTCGGTGTCGATCGGTGCAAAGAGGCCCGTATTTCTAGTCAAAAAAGAAAGAGGCAGGTGGTAGTAGGACGGAGGTGTGTACAGCGTGCCTACAGGTCCACAGGACTCGATCGATCACGAGCTTACCAGATTTCCAGGTCAGAAGGTCGCGGGACTAAGTGACGTAGATGCGCGGGTAGTAGATAGTAGGGGCGGTTCTTCGCGTGATATTGATATTTTTACATCTGTCGTAACACACATACACACGCGAGCGCATTTTACGCTCTTCAGCATCTTTTGTAACGGGGGATTAAACGTCGCTCGCCAATCTTTCTTTACTGCGAGCGACCGCGCGATAAAACAACGCGATATGTGCATACCCGCTGTAACATTCTCATTTCGATTATTAAATTCCGCGAAGAGTCTGATAGGCCCTCTCGTTGTGATTTTTCAAATAGTCGCTCTATCGCTTCGACTGATATACTTTGTCGAATGAAAATTATACTTTTTAGAAATACCCTCATATTTCTCGGCAAATAAATAATCCGTTTGATACGCGGCTCAAGTGTTGATCGTGCATTTCATATGGCAAATTACTTCTGCTAGCTAATTGAACGGGTTGATTCTATCAATGGCAGAACGGACTTTGTATTGATGAATGGGAGCTTCCACTGCGAGTGCACGTTCATCTGAGTTATTGGGTTCACTCCGAAGCATAATACTACCGTATCTTATATCCGTAAAGACGACTTACAAGACATCTTTGCCAAACAACTCAGTTTACGTACTTGCCAACTAACTCTGTTGACAAGACAGCTGCTGTATAATTGAAGTCATATGGTTATGCAAACTGAAGAGTCGTAGTGGCCATTGATTTTCGCCGAGGGAATTTATCAAGCTGACAAATCATCTGGTAATTCAAATTGAAAGATCTGTTTGGTGTTCGACGCGTTGTTTCAGTAAATTTAATAGCGACTTGCATTATCTCCGTTCCCTTTCAGCATTGTTCCATCGAGTAAATACGCACGATCCCCGCATAGAGAGAGCGAGAGAGAGAGAGAGAGAGAGTGGCTCCCACAACGAAGAGTAATTTTGAATTATCGATAAACCAAACAATGAGCACGAGCAGGGCGACTAGTCTTGAATTACGTAATGCGTTAGCACCGCAGCTATCGATCATCGGCGGTAAGTTCAGTTGGTCAAACTTCTGCTGGACTGTAATGCGCTTGCAAATAATAAGTAGCACGGTCGGGTACTGTGGCTCTGCAAACGTCCAGGGAACGAACCGAATTCGGCTGCGAATGTAATCGACCGTGCATCGTTGATCT